CTACTCCGTGAGACTTCTCAAACAAGCAAATAAACAACATCAACAGCAAAAAGGGTGGGCTTCGCGTGTGCAATGTCCTGGACGCAATCCTCGGCACAGATAACACAGATGCTAATAAGGAGACCTTAAGGCATAAACTTGGAGTTTTAATCTTTCCTTGTGTTTCTGTAAGTGAACAAGAAGCTGATGATATGTTAAATTACTAGGAATACACCTAAGATTTTGATAAACAAAAATATTTCAGTCTAAGACGGTCAAAATTCCTTAGTCAACTTTCAAAAGTGCAAGTCATTATGGAACCTAGCTGGGAAGCTGGATGTCACTTGGCTGAGAGAAACGTACACTGCGTAGACACTGTTCCATTTCCACCCTTGGTACAAGATTGATATGTATGAGAAAAACAAATGCATAATGACCTCTCTAGAGCAAAGAACAAAACCTGGGAATTTTCTTCAAAAAGAGAAATCATGACTCATGGTTTTGTGTGCTTATGTGTTAAAATCACACAAACCGTGCAACAAAGAATATGAAGAATTAGCTGGAATCAAGCTACTCAAAATCTTTAAAAACATACGCTAAAATTTATTTTAATAAAATGATGTATTTGCACACACACAGCTCTCTCCAATGACCAAAAAAGTATGGGTCAAAGGGCACGTGGCACTCTACCCCGGTAAGGATTTCAGATGATTTTTAGTTCAGGTATGTTTCAAATTTTCTATAGTTACAAGGTTTTTTTTTGGGCAAAAGTTTTTTTTTTCCCCTTTTTTACACTAGTAATTTCAACACAGAGATAAATACAAACCCCAAAAGCTAAGGAAACTACCTTAAACCACACTAACTGAACAGACACCTAGCATAATGCTGTAAACATTGCGTTTGGCTCAAAGAAAAATATTTTGCTGTTTTCTAACTTCTGGCCCAAACCAAAGCCACAACGAACATTTTGTTAATAAGAATAGCCTTTAAGAGATACAAACTTTCCTGAAGGATACAAACTATCCAAAAGGGTAGCCACGGTTACGGAACTTGCTGGCAAGCGTTCTCAGACCATCTCCAATCCCGAAGGGCTACCTTAAGACAGCACCTCTGGATTCCGAGGGGGATGCCACACCCATCCACCAGCGTGTCACACATGCTACCCAGATGCTACAAAGTGGTTTTAGAGACCCAAGGAGGAAGCAAGCTCCAGATTTCAGACGAATCTAGGGATGCTGACAGCGTCTCTACTGGGGCACTCAAGTGGAGCATGTCAGCTTTTTTGCCTCCTTCCCCAACTAGGTAACCAACCGTTTTTAGATCTTTGACATCAGACTTAAATGTTACAGGGCTGTCATTAGGGTCATCTAAGCAACAATTTCAAGTCATGATCAGCAAAACAAGCAATGGTCTGGAAACTGGTATTTGTCTAGTCTAAGGTCCGGTACTTGCTGGTGACCTTGGACCAAGCCATGGGACTGGGCTTCCTGGTTTGTAAATGGGGAGGATGCACCCACTCAGCAACGATGCTGCGTGGCCTACACGGTAGGCAGCGACAGATAGCAGAGGTGCTGAGTGCACAGGGCCTGGCCGCTCCGGCTCCCTCCAACCCACCGGTCCCCGAGCCCAATCAGGGGCCAGCACCTAGGCTACCCTAAACACATCCTTCCCAAAGCGGGCTGAGCCTGGAATCGAAACCGGAAAGCTCATGTGACTTCGGAGGCAGGGATGCGGCCCTATGCCCGGCCGCAGGCCCGGGAGACGCCGTCTCCACCCAACTCGGCCATCTTGAGAAGGCGCATAGACAAAGCGACCCCACTGTGCGGGCGCTGGCGGTCCGGGCACCCTCGCCGCCCCACGCGACCAGGGAGGGGGAGCCGCGCACCTTTGAGGGTGGAGCGCTCCACCAGGACCGTGTGGACCTGCGGGTCTGACAGGAACTTGCGCATCTGCTCCAGGGCGCTCTTCTCCTCCAGCGCCGCCTCCAGCGCCGCCGGCGCGTCGCCGCCATCCTCCAGCAGCAGCGGCACCAGCTTGCGCAGGTGCTTCTGCAGCACCGACACGTCCGCCACATTCTGCACGGCCGACACCTCCAGGCCGGCCGAGCCGTCCTCGCCGCCGCCGCCCGGCTCCGACATGGCGGATTCGCGGGAGGGAGGGAGAGAGAAAAGAGAGAGAGAGAAAGAGAGAGTCGAGAAGGGCGGCCTCCGGCGCGAGGGGGCAGCGAGCGAGAGGGACGGACGAGCGAAGACGCTGTGTCCGCTAGCCCGCGGCCGACTGCGGACAGCGGAGCCGGCTCCGCCCTAAAGGCCGCCGCTCCCGCCGGCCCCGCCCCGCCCGCTGGCTGCAGCCACCGGCGCCCGCTCGCGGTCTGCGTCGTGACGTTACGCATGCGCCTGGAGGAGGGGCTAGGTGCGGCACCGCGTGGCCTTTTGGGATTTGTAGTCCATATGCGAGGAGGGGGGAAACCGGCGTCTCTCCACCCTAGAGTGGCCCAGGAATCGCGTCTGTCTCCATTGCTGAGTGACAGAGTATCATAGAGCCCCTCAGGCTCCTTAAATAGTGTATGAAGGATGCACCGACGAGAGCTGACGTTTAATAAGAGCTCATCCTGTACCTGCTGTTGTTCTAAACAATCTACGTTCTCCCACTGAATGAACAAGTGAAAGAATGAATGAGTCTGGAGTGCCAACATCAACATCAGCCCGCCCACTCGTTATCAGATACACATGAGGGAGTTTTTTCAGAGAGAGAGGAGATGAGGGGCGTGCCCACAATTACCTTGCTAAACTGGTTTGGTTTTTGTTTGTTTGTTTTTGTTGTTTTGGTTTTCTAGACAGGGCTTCTCTGTGTAGCCTGGGCTGTCCTGGACTTACTTTGTTGACCAGCCTGCCATGAGTGAGGGGAGGTGTTCTTAACTGAGGAACTGGCCTCAGGGAAGGGAAGGCTATGTCTGGGTGGAGGAGGACTGAAGTGCAGCCCAAGATTAGGCCGAAAGAAACCTGACTGGTAGGTAACATCGAGCTGGGAAGGGATCCGGCTTCTGAGGACACTTACCAAACAAGGACGATGTGACCGTAAGGGGAGGACCGAGCCTGAACTCCCGGAGCCCTGAATCTCCACAACCATTCTATGGACTTAAGAATCTTGTTGGCAGGAGGCAGGGCCTGGGATGCCTCTCAATGAAGTTTCCCTGCTTCTGACCCCCACCCCTTCCCCCATACACAGAAAACTCAAAGGCCAAAATCCAGCTGCTTGCTTTCTTAGGAATAGTTATTGGCCTTTGAAAGTTCAGATCCATAACTTGCTTCTTCATCATACAGGGAACTAAGCCAAAGTCATCTTTTAAAACATGATAATGCAGAGTCAGAAAGCTGAGTCCTGATTGGTGGGATGATGATGGTATGATTTGATTCTCCCAAATCATCTTTGGAAAACGAAGAGCCCTACAATATGCTTATTCCTTGTACAAGCATCCAGTGCCAGGTCCCAGAGGCTGCTGATGGAGCCCAGAAACTACTCAGATGACTCTTCCAGAAGCTTGTGAGAGAGGACAGATAAATATCCCCAACTTCCTCCCTCCCTCGATTAGTTCGCCCTGGGGTGATATGTTCTAAAGAATCTTCCAGACGTGAGAGGACAGACCCAAAGCAGCTTTGATGTGTTGGTACTATGGAGGTGCTGACCTACCAGCAGTGACCCATGCTGAATGTCCACTTACCGCCAGGTGTTACTGTCTCCCTCTGCACAGCCTGCAGAGACGACAGCCTGACCTCCAGAAACCTTCAGGGACTATGGGGGTGGGGGCTGACAGCATGCTGGCTGCACCATGAGTCAGCATGTGCCTGGGAAGTGCAGCCATTCAGTCACCCAAGGGACACACTCATCTGAAACCTGGCTTCAGGTCGTCAAGGAACAGACAGCAGGCTTGACTGTGGATTGTTTTATTATTCCAAAGAAGACAGAAATTATCTGACTACACGGATTCACAAATGGCTCAAACCTGCTTGCTTTTTTTTTCTTTCTTTTTGAAATTTCTAAACCTGTTTGTTTTTAATACAGCAAGAACAGCCAAGCTTGAGTAGCAGCTTGCTGCACACAGGCTGCTGAGACGTCTAAGGGCATCACCCCCGAGGCTGGCCAGACTGAGACAGGGCTGATGCGGAAGTGGAACTTGCCTGAAGGTGCCCTTCTAACTCATGGCATAGGACTCAGCTGAACCCCTACCCTGGCCTCTCCATAGTCTCTGGTCCATGAAAGGACCTGGTTTCACTTGTGGAGAGGTGCTGGAGAGAGCCTTTTTCGGCTGATGTGGGATGATGGTGACTCATTTTGTCATAAACTGGTGCTATACCAGTTTTATCATGTCCATTCCCAACATCCCTTTATAATACTGCATGGAGTTCTGCTCAGGCCCAACGTGGTATGAGACCCATCCTCCTCCTTCTGCCCCCTCTACCAACCCGTGGACAGCACAGTCTCTCAGTGCGGCCCTGGCAAAGCAGCATCTCCAGGCTGTGCTTCTATGTACGCCTTTTCTGAATTCATACCGGACTTTTTTATTTTTATTTTTATTTTTTTTTTATTCAAGGCCTTCTCATGTATCCCTGATTGGCCTGGTACTCACTACATAGGGCATGCTCACTCCAGACTTGAGCCATCTTCCTCTCTTGGCCTGTCATTCCAGTGCTAGAACTGTGGAGTGCCCTGTCATACCTGATTGGCGTTGGGTCATTTTTCCGAGTCCTCTGACAGAACTATCAGGCCTAGAGAACACGGGACACTTGCTTAGTGTGTGTTCCCAGCCTGGGGATGGGAGCAGTGGGGGTGGAGGGGTACAGGAATGTCTCACAGAGCATGGAAAGGTTTGAACTTCCCTGCCACACTTTCAGACAGACTATACCATTTGGGAGGTAGGCGCTGCTGGAGGACCCAGCCGGCATTCACCCCGCTGCAGGATCCACCGCCCACCCTCCCTTTCTGTCTTGGTTTGGTGGATTTTTGTTTTGGTGTGTGTTTAAAGCCTACAGCAAGCACTGATATTCCCAGGTGGTCTCCCATCCAAGTACTAACCAGGCCTAACCATGCTTAGCTTCCGAGATCAGACGAGATCGGGCGCGTTCAGGGTAGTATGGCCGTAGACTTGGTTTGGTGTTAAATGGACCTCAGGGTGAGGACTGAACTAAATCCAAGTCTTAGAAGTTTCAAGACTAGCAGGTTGGAATTGGAGATCCTCTCCGCTCTCCGGCAGGAACAGAACAGTCCGTTTGCGCCCTCTGGTGGTCGGGAATTTTCTCTCCCTTTTAGGGCCTTTTTCTTTCCACCTCCATCTCCACATTCATCTGTTTCACTACGCCCTGTCGCCTAGAGAATACCAGTCTGAGGTTCAGCCCATATCCCACTACCTACGGGGAAGATTTGCCGAAGAGTATCGGCCTGGGCAGACAGTTCACCCAAGCCCTCGACGCGCCTGATAGTACCTCTCCTCTCCCCTCTGGTAGAACCATCCATATCTCTTCCCAGAACCGGTGTCCCCAGCTGAGATCACTGCTCCCGGGTGCCCATCCCCATATCGCCTCACGCCTTCCTGATTCCACCTCCTTCACCCAGCCTACCTCTTTAAACGGGTCAGGGACGGGCATCGATGTAATCGCAGCACTAGAGAGGCACAGGCAGGGACATTGCAAATCCCAGGACAGGCTGGGCTACGTAGTAATACCGTGTCTCAGCCAGGTCAAAGCAAAGCAAATCAGGCAAGAGGAAGAAACTCGGTCACACCTCTGCAAGCGCCATATCTCTGCTGCTCTTTCCAGCAAATACCTTGGAAACAAATGCAATGAGCTCAGCCCTGAACACTTCCAGCTCTCCTACCCAGTCCTTATGTTCCCAGCAAGTGTTGGGGTCCATGTCGCCAACTCTACACACCTGGACAAAGCCAGTCTCTGGGTCTCGGTCTCCTTCTTGCTCGACATCTTGGAGCCTCTGCACAGCAGTCCTTACCGCCAGGCTCTCCGGATCCTTTTCCTCCGTCTCTTTCCGAGGGTATGGCCCACGGCTTCGTGTTCACCTCTTTTTGGTCTTGAACCAGCATCTCCTCAGCCTGACTTGCAATACAGATGTACCTTCTGGCCCTCAACATTTGAGGGGTATTAGGATGTGCCACAGCTCTTGAGTAAGTAGAAAATTCCAAGTTGGTTGGGAGTGTTTTTAATTTTTCTCTATCTATTTCTTTTTTTCTTCTTCCTCCTCCTCCTCTGCTTCTTTGTGCTTTGACCTGATCTCAGGTTCTTCTGCACTCTTAGCAAGTGCTCTAGCCAGAGCTGCATTGCTAATTGCCAGTACACTTGCTCTGTTAATTATTTCAAGAAGGGTGTTGAAATCTCTGGTGGTAATCATGGCTTTGTCTCTGCTTGCAGAGATCTGTTTGCTGTGATCTCTGGATTGATTTTCCTATCTGTGGTCACCAGCCAGTTCTCCTGATTTTTAGAAGCCCCTTCATCAGTTGCTCATTCTCTTTCTCCTGGCTTACCTGAGTGCAGCTCTGAGAGCACCTGGAGTGGAAACCTTCCAAGGGGTAATGGCAGAGGGCTGAGGGTCTGTGTCTTCCCAGACTAGACCTGGGCTGTTTGTGGGAGCCTGCCAGTGCACCGTTGCCACAGCCCTGCCCCCTGAAAGATCTGGTCTGTTTTTAATTTCTTTCCCCCCTGAGGTAAGCAGTCTCCCTTCTCAATATATGAGAGCTTTGAGTCTGTTGATGAGGGACTGTTCTGCCTGTTGTAGGCTCTGGCACCCATCAGCAAAAGGTTCCATACCTGATTTGGGGATTGGATCATTTTTTAAGTCTGACTATAAGGAGAAAATCTATTTTATATTAAAAATTCTTCACAATAATGGAGGGACTTTTTTTGGGGGGTATGTGGCTGGATGACATAGTTGCCATCTTTTTTTTATTTTTCAAAGATGTATTTATTCATTATTTATACAGTATTCTGCCTGAATGTGTGCCTGCATGCTAGAAGAGGGCACCAGACCTCATTACAGATGGTTGTGAGTCACCATGTGGTTACTGGGAATTGAACTCAGGACTATCTGGATGAGCAGCCAGCGCTCTTAACCACTAAGCCATCTCTCCAGCTACCAGTTGCCATCTTCTTGGATGACAGAATAGCCTGCCATTTCCCTCAGTGGTGGGGTAGATGTCTTTGGATGGTCAGGATCAGGTGGTCTTGTGACTGCCTTGGCACCACAGGGTACTGACAATTAGAGCTTCCTGTGGGGCAGCTGATGGGGGTGTTCCCTTGGTGTCTTTATCGAGCAGGCCTCACATCAGGGCTGTGCAAACCCCATAACCAGACTTCCCTAAATAGGAATTTCTCTGTGCCTGACCCATGTGGTGAGTAGGGTGGCAAAGATCAGCTTCCCCCTCAAGCAGGTGCCTGTCTCACCACCCACCTCGGCCCCCACCTTGCAGTGATTTAAGAGGTCTTACCTTAAGGCCACACAGATAAGCCCGCGCTTGGTCCCTCCTATGATGAGACCTGAGTGCTCCTTCAGATGAAAGGACCTCAGTGGAAGCAGGGGTTGAAGCCCAGTTGGATGCCACAGTCACAGGGCCGTGGGGTCGTTACAAGCACCCACACGCTCCTTCACCACCAGAAGTTTCACATTCCAACTTTAAATTGCTGGGGCAGAGGTGGTGGGGGCGCTGGAGAGAGAAGGCTGCTCTTCCAGAGGACCCAGGTTCAGCTCCCGGCACCCACATAGCAGTTCACTGCTGTCTGTGGCTCCAGTTCCAGGGGACCTGACACCTCCACACAGACATATATGTAGGCAAAATACTGATGCGCATAAAATAAAAATAATTGAGTCATTTAAAAATTCCTAGTCTGTCTATTTCTCTGGAAACCAATACAAGTGCCTCAGCATCCCCTTGGGGCGTTTGTCTGGAGACCAGTGACACCTCAGTATCCCATGGAGGCTCTGTGTGCATCTCCTGGAGGGTGGTCACGCCCACACCAGCACTTCCTGCCTAGCCCCAGGCTGCTTACCCGGTGTGGGCACCCTACCTAGTCTCACCCTCCTGCAGTCGTAGGCTCTGGTCCTGGGCTTCACAGCTCCCTTGGCCACCTGGAGGGGCCTCCAGAAAGGCTGCAGGGGCTTTTCTGGAATAAGCACTGCAACACCAACGACGGCAGTGAAGATGTCTTCAGTGACTGAAACCAGGGGAGCTTCTGATTCTGAAGGTCTTCTTCCGGGGCCCGGCTTGTACTCTCATTCTCTACTCAAGAACCACATGGTGGGGCAGGAAAGCAAGTGAAATTCTACAGACGCTTACGTATCCGTCAGCAGGTTACTTCGGGCAGGGACCCCCGTCCCAGCTGTTTCCCACACCTTTTCTGTATCAGGCAGCAAGTGAAGGCATTCTCGGCAGATAAGCAGTGCTTTAGGTAAATCATGAAAAACAATAAATCATCACCCAATAATTGGTCTTTTCTGTCTTAGTTGACTTCAGTTAACCATGTAATTTAATTCCGTTTCCTGAAGGTCCATAAAAAATAAATACGAAAGCGGTTGTTTCTATGAGAACTGAGCCGAGAACTCTGGTGTGCTGCAGCCGGTGAGTACTCGCCCGGTGTGTGTGGAGCCCTCAGCTTCAGCCCCAGCACCACAGGTCGCTCTATGTTTCTAACGCTAGCCCTGGGAAGGTGGGTACAGGAAAAGCAGCAGTTCCAGGGAATTCTTAGCTACGTTTGAGGCCAGCCTTGCCTACATGAGAGTACATCTGCCCCCCCACCAAAAAAAAGAACAAGAAAAACTGTAAAAACGAAAACAACCTGAACCTATTGCCGAACACACCACATACTCTAGAAACAGGGCCCAAAGCCCCTGAGCTGGGACTGACCTGGATGCCTCCTCCCAGAGGACTAGCAGTCATGGCAGCAGAAGGCACCAGGCAAGCTTCCCACAGTCCTACTCAACCATGATGCCCGTGAACCACAACAATGGCCAGGCATGATACCCCTGAGGGCGTAGCAGTGGCACGCAGAACCTCGGCAGCAACCAGCAGCTCCCTAACTGGAGCAAAGACCCACTCAACCAGACGGAAAACATGCTCAGGACTGGAAACTTGCCTAACTATCGGGCACTATTGAACTCACAGGTCATGGAGAACCTGCAACCACCACTTCACTAAACCAATACCATCCATAACAACCTAAACATTGTCTTTATACCCACACATAAATAGAGTTCTCAGCCCTGATCAAGGAAACTTCTTTTTGCAATAGATGGGGAACACTACCAAAAAAAAAAAAAAAAAAAAAATCACAGCCAGTCAAAACGCAGACTTGTGGAGCCCAGTCCCAGCGAATCTAATTAAAAAACATCTGTGCCTAAGGCCCAGGGAACTTTACAGAAGGGATAGAAAGACTCTAAGAGCCAGAGGAACAGGGAGTTTGCTGTGAGGAATGTCAGAGGCTACACCCATAAAGTCTCATCACCAGCATCACTGCCTAAACATGAGCTGAACAAGGATGACATGCCAAAATGATGGCCTCAACCCTGCACAAGGAACCAACCACAGGCAACTAGGAATGGGAGGAACAGTCTTCCCTCAGCAAGAGCACACCTACCCTTTATCAAATACCAACCTGTTTACCTGAAGCCCTGAAAACACACACATGGCCAGCACACACACTGAGCAGGCTCTAGTCAGCAATGTCTATGTGTACACATACAGGCACATAATAACAGCTAATGAAATAAAAGTCCGTGAATTTGAAAGGGTGCAAAGTCCGTGGGAGGGCTTGGAGGGAGAAATGATACAATCTCCTTATAATCTTAAAAAAAAGATAAAGTGAAGCCCAACAACGTGGGGTTGATCTCCAGGGTCCGCACGCTGTCCTCCACACACATGGTGTGCACACACTGACCGTGCACATGCATGTCACACACACAGATAAATGAAGGTGGCAGAGTCCTCACAGTGTGACCCCAAGTTACAAGCAGCAGTAACTCCACCTTGAGTGCTGTTGCGGAGGCAGGACGGCTGCGACCTTACACGCCCCTAGATACCACTTCCTGTCCAGTACCACAGGTGAAGCACATGCCGACACCTACCTTGTTCCTAAAAGTAAAATGTCC